CGCCATTCAGCTGGCCCAGTGATATAATTTTTATATTGTATTTAGCAAGTCAAATTTACTTTAGAAATTAATACTTTCTGCCTTTGAATCATATTCATTTCTCTCTAGTCTCAGATATAGTCTCCAAAAAATTAAATGGTGTCTTCTTTTCTGAACATGTCATATGTTCTTTGAGACTACCTCAGTGTTAGTGTTTTGAACTTCCATTTTTAAAGCAAATTGTAGATACATGTTTCACAAAATCAACTGATATAAGATCTTGGAATCATAATGGACATTTGTCATTTTTTTCCTTTTTCCCATTTTAAATTTAGCTGACTAGTATCCAACTCATTTTCTGATTTTGGAGATTTAAAGTTATGGGTGGTCATTATGGGGAGGAATACAGGAGTTCATGGAGTCAGACTTTGCTTCTTTCTACCCTTTGGCAGTCAGGATGGCCTTGGTTTGGTCAATCAGACGCCCCTTCTATAATGTAGAATTTTGAGTACAAAATGTTAGAGATACTAAGGAATCATTCACAGCAACAGTTTTTTGCTACGGTGTTGGCAGTGGCCCAACCATACTGTTCCTCAGAGACAATTGTACTTTTTTCTACTTTCTCTATAGAGTTTGTTTTCTAAGACTGGTCCTCCATCCCCTTGTCAGTCCTGTGTAAAGTAGACACAACTGGTTTCCATTATTTCCAAAAGAATACAGGGATCTTGAAAAGGTAGCTAAGTGGAAGTTCTATTATGGAGCCTCGGAACTAACGAAGAAACCTCTTGAATCTTTCTATAATTCCTACTGCCTTCTCACTGTTTACATGTATACCACACACTCATTACACTCTGCGATTCTACAGGGAGAAGGAGTCAGAGCATGTTTCCTTTGGAGACTTCTGGGTTCCTCAGCAGGAAAGGGACAGCTTATTGGCGTCCACAGCAAACAATCCCAAATATAATAGAGGTGCATGGCCTTATAACACTTGTGGGATTCTCACTGAAATACCTCAACATCTAGGCGCATATATGAGAAATATCCTCCAATACAGAGCAAAATGTTAGCATACGGAAATCATGAAGCAAAAGATAAGTAAACCCAGGAAGTGCACATTATTTTAAAACTTACTCGTGGATAAGAATTCCAGAAGGAAAAAGAAAAAAAAAACTGATGGAAGAGATCAATAATATTTAAACAAATGATAAGCAGAGAAAAACCCAGGTCTTGAGATTGAAAAGGCTATGGCGTTCCATGCTGTATTGATCAGAGACACACTGAGGAAGATAATGTGAAGTTTTCCAAACAAAAAAAGTAAATTGCCTACAAAAGGGAAAAAAGTGTGCAAAGGACTTTCCATTTATAACATTGAAAG